AGTCAGGAACACTTCCCATATAAGAAGTGTTGTCGAAAACCAGACATGAGTCGTCTTATCGAGAACTGCTGTAGTAGCTGTTAGCGAATGGCTTTAATGAGCTGCACGACAAGAATCCCATCAAAACAACAATGCCCATTCAAACCGGAATAAGAAGAAGGCGAACCTCCTTCGAAAGATCGACGAAGTAAAAAACAGCAAAAACTAAAGGAGATGATATAGATATTAAAGAGTGAACAGTTTTGATAACATCTTGAATGAATAATCCTTTAACTGTCTGTGACGATGAAGCGATTCCGGAAATCGCGAAAAAATTAATCCATAATTTTCAAAAACTGCTCTAAATAAATGACAGACGGATCGGTAGAGCACCCGGGTAATCGAATGAAAGTGATATTGAAACTGAGGATGATACGAATGTTGCGCAAAAATCGAAGAAAGTGAGCTGAGAACACCGATACAAAGAGAGATGTCTTAGAGGTCATTCAACAGGCATGCGAGCCAAGAACAAAAGAGAAGATCAGTGGTGGTATCACAATCTCGTACTTGGAAACACACCGCAGCATGCAATGATGTACAAGGAGAATCCATGGAGATGCTAATTCATTAATATTAAAGGAAGATAAAAAGGAAAAAGAAAGCCAATGCAAGGAGCTCGATGGTGCAGTGGTTAGTACGACGGCCTCAGAAAGGGTAATCGCGTGTTCGAAGCTGGGCTATGGTCCGACTTTTGCAAATATCTCAGCGCCGTTGTTGCCTGAATCTCACAAAATGTTCTGTCGGAAAGAGTTCATAGAAAAATTAAAAGGTCAGAAAGTGACACCCATCCGACATCCAACATAGCATATGAATATCGCAACAATATGCTTAGTTTTACTGCCAGAAAAAGAATTGTATAGTCAAGTTAGTGTGTTCTCCCCCACATAAGTCTGATAGCAATTTCCCGACTCAGGAAGGCTGAAGGTCTTAGTCTGCACGAGGACGACATCGAAGTAACAATCCTGCTTCTAAAGCACGTTCAATTCTAACCACTGCGCCATATGAACTCCACAATGGGAAATAAGGGTCTAATGAATAACGTTTGACGAATCATTTAAAACATTTAACGACATGATTCGATTTTCGTCTACAATGTGTCCTTAACTACTGACTGTAGTACTGAAATCTGAAGAATTATGATCATAATCGGTTAGAATTTAACCCATAACGCCCAGTGTGAAAACTACAGCGTCCAAACGTGTTTGGACCAGGGACGGTATGAACATTATGGTGCTCATTTTCAGATTAGTGCGTTCCATAATTTTCTATCGCCCTATACATATTCTTTCGACAGGTAATCGGAAGAAAACCAAAATAGTAGAGGTGAGACGAGAAAAACCATCCTCCACACTTAACGATTTACAAAAAACCTTTTCTCGGAAAACCGGTAATTTGAAGAACACTTAACTGTTATTTATTTTAATCACTATGGCCACTCTATGGAAAGTGCGGTTATAAAACAAAACCCAAAATAGAATTAACATAGGGTTCAGAATACATCCAAGCGCTGACAGCAACGTGTTTGTACAATGGATCATGGTAGAACACAGTAAATACTAGCACAAATTTCATTCATACTCAAAGAACGACGCAAACCCTCTTCTTCAGTTCTGTTATCTCTCACAACGGCTAAAACATCTATTTATTAAAAAATTATTTATCAATGTTATCCTTTTATTTTCTGCTTGCTATAATTTTTCGCGGCAGGGCATCATTTGGAAAGCAACCACTACGATGCTGAGATATTCGCAAAACTTGGACCCTAGGCCAGATAGAACCACTATTTCCCTTTCCGGAGGCAAGCGCACTACACACTGCGCTACGGATGTAATTATATTTGTGTTTATTTTATTCCCTAAAAGACTTTATTTATTGTCGAAAAACCAAAAATTCCGCAGCCAACGAAAATTTGCTCGCATGTCACTCGGAGTGCCACGCTAAACGGCTCGAGTCCGTTAAGTTCAAGTGATTGGCGTGAAATGAGTACATGAGGAGGTTGTCGTTCGGCTTGTCATCAGGAAACAGGTGTTGAAAAGAAAACAAAAAATGGTGGAATTCCAGACTGCATAACGGCAGACTGCATACATAAAGATCGTGAAGGAAATTAACGCAATGCTTTTAGAAACATTCACCTAAATATCAGTGACGACAGAGAGACAAGACACGGCACATCGTGGATTAATGGAAAAAGGAGGCAGAATGGATTTTAAAGACGTTACAGTGAAAAAGAAGACAAACATTTGTTGAAGCACTTGCTGACAAAAGCAGTAAGTGCTCGAACAGATGATGAAAAAGAAACGTACAAAATATCTTATTATGTTATACAACCACAATGGTGCTGAGATATTTGCAAAAATCTAGACCGCAGGTGTCTGCGGTGGGAAACAAACATGCCATTACCTTCTCCGGCGCTGACGCGTCCACCACCACACCATGCGGACCCTTCGTTTCACCTGTCTCTCAGCTAGTTCTTCTATTGATTAGTACCATCAGCAATCACCCGTCAACGGGATTAATCTGGAGAACTCAAATCGGCAATGAATCTGATTAAGCTGAGGCTGTAGTCGAAATCACAGTGTTAACTTTTTATGTACTGCCTATTATTATTTTTCAAGGCAGTGTATGATGCGAAATACAACCACACTGGTGCTGAGATATTTGCATAGCTCCAGACCGCAGGTGTCTGCGGAGGAAACGAAACGAGGTAGGAGCGCGCTATTATCCATTTCTGGCGCTGACACATTCACCACCACACCGCGCACTGAAAAGCAGGCGAACCGAAGGACCTGCACGGTGTGCTGCTGAACGCGTCAGCGCCCGGAAAGGGTAATAGCACGTTTGTTCCCCACCGCTGACACCTGCGCTCCGGAGTTTTGCAAATATCTCAGCACCATTGTGGTTGTATCACATATAACACCCTTCTGTGAGAAATAGTAATAAGCAGTACACAAAAAAGTTAACATTATCTTATTATGTTTAGCACTAAAGTTGCATTAAGTCTTCACAAATGCAAAAAATCACTTCACGTGCACATTTACGCGCCATTCACAGTTTGTACATTCACGACCGTGCTAATTTTGGGACATCTGAGATAGCTGTTGATAAGTGGAGAAGTCGACAAGCTCGCTACTTGGGTGGAATTGCAAAACACGTACCTTGGCCTATCACATGAAGCGCGCATATGATTTCATTTCACCCCTGAATGATGGCCCTTTAATTTTTAAAATTATTTACAGTGGAGGTTCATAAGAAGACAAAATAAAATTCACTTCTTCAAAATTTTCTAAGAAACCCTAACAGTGGCAAACAATGACGATATACACAGACCTCATTCTACGAATTCCCAACTGTTTAGTCGCTTCGGTATTCGAAATGCGAGCGCCTCGACGAATCAAACGGCAAAAAAAAAACGCTTTGTTGGCACCAGTATATCAAAAACTAGTTCTTATAAAACAGCACTTTTTATTTTTTTAGAGGAAAATTCGCAGATTCTAACATTCCTTAGTCAATTGGTAAAGCTCACAATGAGCTGAGATGGTCTGAGGCTTACAACAGCCATTATTTTAGCGCTGCACGCATTGATTTTATCAGCATTTGAGGATTAGCGTCCAAGTAATCTCTCTAGCTGTTGTTATTGGGTAGACACCAATAAAGTCTCAGTCGATGTTCGTAGAGAGCTACTCAGATGGCTCGGTTCCATCGTGAAATACCAAAAACACAAGGCAACCACGAGCTGGTAGCAGGACTTTGCATTAAAAGAGGATGGTTCTTCACTGGTACTCCGTATGCACACCTCACAGTCCGCTCCAGTTCGAATGATTTTGGACTAGAATGGGAACGAGTTCTTGCTGAATATCCTATTCGAAACCCAGGAACCTCTTGGGATTGCAATGAAGTGCTGCTAGTCAACTGGACTAGGCTCAACAGTTACAAAGTTCGCAATTCAGTCGAATCAACCCAGTTAAAAAGAAGAGTTAACACAAAGTGATGCGATAATTGGTACGTGACAGAGAGGAGGTCATCTAAAGCGGAGAAACGAACGTCATCGTTAACAATTCGCAGACTATAGAGATTTCGATGATGAATTACTGTGTTTGATGAGTGGGGCATGCGCAGTTGGAATAATGGTTGCTTTTTTTCAAATGCTAGCCAATGTCAAGGTGAAATTATTTCGCAAAATAGGTAAACCTTCGCTATCGATTACTAATTTAAGCAAAAGATAGCCTTTTTATATTGGGATAGCACAGGAAGAAAAACTATTGGAATCACGAGGATGCTGAGAAATGTGTAGAACTCGGAACCTCAGGTGGACTTCGAACAACCGATTATCCTTATCGTGGACTCACTGCTATCCACCGCAGCATCCGTCACTATTTTAATCATTTTGTAATCGCACAACTGCATTGAATAAATAGAACGATTCAAAAGAACTATCTCTTCTCAACAACAATTTAAAAAGGAGGTTGACTTCGTGAACAGAATAAGACTTATTTAATGAAAACAGGAATCGTACGAAAATAAACAGGAAGCGAAATCTAAAGGTTTTTGAGAACAAGAAGCCGAATGATTTCGTACGAGAACACGACTTACAGTGATTTGCCCCGCAATAGTGATTATTACGCTTAAAATTAATAGCTCCTAATTCGAAAGCGATTACATTGAGTTTCTAGCTAAACACCTTGTCACAAATTGGGAAATATTTAGAAAGTCCCACACCTCTTTTCCATCCTTGATATCAGAAAAAAATCTGCTACAAGAGTTATGGGAGAGGATTCGCATAGGCGACCGATAAGCAGAGAACCAGTTCGACGTCTGTGTTATGCCGAAAATTCATCCACATAGCTCAGAGATGGATTATAGCGGTTTGGTTTTGTGGGCGGACAGTAAAAGAGACAGTGATTGGATGGGAGACGTTAATTTAGTGATCAATCGTTAATTGCTTTCCTTTCCGTATAGCGGCATTACCAAGCAACAGCCAGCAAGTAGTGCTCAAGGTCATCGTCACCGTCGTCGTCGTCGTCGTCGTTGTCGCGTTTGAAATATTCGCGCCGGCCGGATCGGCCCTCATCAGTCGAGGGCCATCCAAGCGAAGACGCGACGGCGTTACCGCCAGCCCTCCAACCCTCATCACAGCCGCGTTGTTTTCGACAGCGGCGTTCTTCCGCAAGGTGTTCGCGGAGTGGTGCACCTGATATGCGACTGCTAGTGCAAAGTTGCACTACTAACTGTTGATAGCATCAGCAGCGTGATAAAGTACATTATGTCAGATGGTCTCGATTAACTCAAATACGCGAAAGCTCGACATTCCAGATTGAGTCCTAAAGCGCAACGACAGTACAGAACGAACCTGGAACAGTGTTCGGAGTGATAGCCGTTGGAAACGCATGCAGTCGAGGGCTAGGTGTGGACGATTTTGTAGTTTCGGAGAAGACCAATGATTGGAACGTCCTGATGAAACTCTAACGTTATTTAGAAATGTTCTAGATACCGCTATACTATGTTCATATTCTTGTGTGAAATGTGCTGTGTAATGTAATGTAGGTGTTTCTCGTTAGAAGGTATCTTTTGCTTGATCTCATCGGTTTTTTTCAAAGAACCTTCAAGTGGCATTATGGTATGATGTGACATTTCATGGAATTCGATATAATGAATATTAAATAGGAGTGATAATGACAATTAATAAAACCTTAGAGCGGTGATCGATCGAACAGGGATTCCACCATATCTGTACCATTTCAATGTCATAAGGGAAGCGCAATGATTACAGGCGCCCAGCGAAACACACGTACTCAATGGCTCGATCACGACCCACCCCAAATTGCTGCGCGACTTGTCTAGGAGGGGATAAACACTGACTAGCTTGATACATCAACAGGCCGTCGGCAGTCATTGTACAGATCAAATATACTCGTCATAGAAATAATAAATGAAATAATAAAAATAAATAAATAAATGTAAAAATAATTTTTTTGTGGTAAGCTCGAAGAATAATTATAGAGTACAGGTGGAACAGAAAAAAGGAAAAGAGAGAGAAGGCGAAGAAGAAGCATAGATTGAATAGAAGACCAAATACTATGTAGTGTTATCACAGTTAAGGTTTGTGAAATCGTTCCGAATCGATAGCCAACCGTACAATGTCGCAAGGAATGTCGGTTCAATCTGGTTGACATCACAAGTGGTGTCACCATAAGAACGTCGTCAGATCATAAGAAAAAAGAAAAGAAAATACTTTGGGTCACGATCGGCGTAGTATTTGAGTGGTGTGAAATTTTTTGAACGAGGAGGCAGAATACTACAAAGCTTTTCTTTGGGTGGAATTGGTGGAGTTTTCCAGAAAAGCCTGTTAAGTTAAGGGTGCTAGGAAAAGGGTTTGAAATTGTCCCTTCAGTATTACGTAATGGTTTGCTGCTTGAAGATAGAATTTAAAAAATAAAGTGCACCCAAGCACCAACGGCAAAGTGTCTACAGAAGGAGCAGAATGCTTAAAAAATCTAGGAGAAAAATATAAAACACCATCGAAACGTTCAGGACAAAAAAAGAATAACAAGTAAAGTGAACAACTCAACAACCAGCGATAGAACATGAATTAGTAATTGAGACGTTGAAGAGGCACTTTAAAGTGCTCTGAGACACTAAGGAGTTCGGAATCCTCAGGTTATGAGAAATAACACAAGAAATGGGTAGCTTGATTCTGGCCAGCAACTTCCGAAATGTGTCCCGATTTCTATAAAAGATGCCAGGAACGAGATTCCGACTAATAAAATTGGAGATCCTACGCATTCGGTATTGATAGCGAGTCTGGAATGAGACGGACATCAAGGAGGCACTATGACATGAAATCACCCATGAAATGAAACATAATAAAAGCCAATTCAACTTCAACAGAGTGAAACTTCTGAAGGAGAGTGAGATAAGAATTCCATACTTAAAAATGAGTGTGGAAGATTGCTAGATAGAAAATGTTTTACAGTTCTTCACTAGCGTCAACGAATTGTGTAGTGTTCGGATCCAGTTAGCCGAAACCACGTTCACTAATGACGGTTTGTTGTGGGCGGCGGTGAGAGTGGTGTGAGGTCAGCGCGAAGCAAACCAGAACATCGTCTAACGCTACCGAACCAGATCAAACCAAGCGAAACATCCTAAGTATCTCATTAGAGTGATGGCGGCTAGCCGATCATCGTTGAACATAGTCTGAGCATAAATTGGATAGCTTACTATAGATAGCAATCATGCGCCAACGCATCCCATAAATCATCAGATCTGGAAAGCGGCAGTTTCGGACCGTTAAGACAAGAATTGAAATAAAGACATTTCTTTTCCAATTTCCATTTTGTAAACAGCATAATCTAGTCTAGTTTTTCTGCGAACGCTTAGGTCATGGTCTCAATTGATTGTGTAAAGGTGTTTGGAGAAAAGGAAAAAAACTACTATTACGTCCGTTGATGTCCACTGAGTACCAGCAGAATTTCAGTGACACTGCAGCTGTTGCGAAAACCAGCCAACGAAGTGCATCGAAAGCGTCCAGTTCAAATACAACAACTGTCATCTCTAATTAAATACGAGGGCAAGAACAATATGAGATATCCGACTTCCATTGAAAATTATACTAGTACAGTTCTAACGATATTAGTGATATTGATAATCTTTTGTAGAGGCTGTACCTTTTTAATTACCGTATGTCTAGTGCTGACATCAGTAACGTACTCATTATCCCATCATCTTGCATCAGAGCTACTCATTTCCTACACAATGAACGTTGCACTTCTGCTGCTGTTGAGTTCTACTGTTTCTGGAGAAACGTATCCATGGAGTAGCTCATAGGAGTCCCCCATCACGTGGGAGCAGTCTTAGCTAGGATTTCGGAACGAAAGTTGCTTTCGAACTCATTTTTTGCTGATCATGAACAAGGTTGGTGTATCTTCTGTACATCGTTGTTCGCAAAATAAGAACGTCCCATTGCCACGATGAGAAGGCAGACCATTGCAGGAATTTGTCATAGCAGTGATGACAGCACCAAAAATGCCAGCGTGGATCGTGGAATCGTTTGCAAGAAATGAGCTCAACGAGAACGATTTTTGCTATAAGTAATTTGTCTCCATTCTAGGTACAAGGCATTGCACTGACAAAAGTCAAATCGATCTATGAACTTTACTTCCTAAAATTCTCGAAGCTTTGGACAGGAATTCCCAGAACTGACTTTCAATTAACCTCCGCATTAATCAATAGGAATAGTAGATATCCTAAATGCCGATCCTTAGTAGGCTTTTTCTTTGCCATCGCCTGCATTACTGCTGAGGTGTTCTTTTTCTTTCTGACCTGATTATTACTTATGAAAGTAGACGATTTCTCGACGACAACGTTGCTGAGATATTTGCAAAACTCTGGACCGCAGGTGTCTATGGTCCATAGACACCTGCGGTCCAGAGTTTTGCAAATATCTCAGCAACGTTGTGGTTGTATTTCGCTTAGTAACCTGCCATGAAAATTATAGAAGGCAGAAAACAAAACGTTAAACATTGTGATTTCTCGACGATTCGCCATCGAAAGCGTT